AATAATTGCAAAATAGCAAGAAAAAGCTATTTATCATTATTGCTTGTTCCATTAGTGTCAAGTAAGTTGAAACAGGTACTCATAGCCATTTAGAAACTATATAAAACAAAACATCACAGATGTGCTATTGATCTCTGAAGAAAGTATGCAATTTTCTACACAGAAGAACGCTGCCCCAAATTGAAGGACCTATTAAAAATAAGTCGCATTCCATATTGCCGCCACAAAAGCATTAACTAATTTAGGGTCATCTTCCATATTGTCCACCCAACTAAGAATTTCACCAAGTCTTTACAAGTGTAAGTTATACAAAACACACTTAAAGTATGTGTCCGTGCTACCGTATGTCCAAAATTAAGCTCATAYCCAAGATCTCTGGTAAGCAGAAGCGTTACCAGTGGAACAGCCTAAAGGGCTTAAGGCCCATGGAGTCCCACCCCTATCTGGAAACAGTATCGGCTGATGATGAGGTCTCTATTAATAAACAAAACAATAAACTAGCTCAGAAGCCACACGTTTAAGCACATTTAAGAACGTGGTTCCACAGGAATTTTCATCTCATTTATGAGTAAAGATGCTGCCAAAAAGTGCAGCCTTGACTTCCTCTGCCATTCTTTGGCTGCTTGCTCTGGCCACCCTCCTTGTATCAACACTATTACTTGCACAGAAAGGACCTAAGCAGCAAGTAGGACTGAGGACCTGATCACAGCAAAAATAAAAATAAAGATGTTGACAGGCTGTTTTCATCTAGATCGGAAAGCAGAGCWGTCCTCCATGTGGAAAGGCATGCCTGGAGTGATTGTGGTGGTGAAGGATAGAGCAGGGCCTATTCCTTGCACTGCCAAACTGCACTTGCCAAATTGTCAGATTAAAGAAGCAGGAGCATCGCTACCTGTGAGGTTCTCTCACTAAGAGGAGACTCCACCGCTAGGCAAAATGTCTATACGGAATTTAAGAGTTCATCATAAAAGGTCCCCCTCTAGAAAAGGCATCTTTAAATACAACTAACAAAAAAAAAAAAAAAAAAATCTGCCACTGTGTACAAGCCCTCTGCAATCTCAGAAAAAGATATTCATAAACAGAATGATTATTCAAATTTTAACTTTTATACTAGACCGAGGCATCCAATGAAGCTGTAGTATAAATCCTATTAAACTGAACTTGGTTTGTGCATCCCTAAAATAGAATTGACATACAAACACAAGGTCAAAGTCACAGATCAGCAAGAAAGATTACGAAGAGGACTGATGTAAGTACTGGCATTTGATCAGAGCTCCTGTTTTTTTAGTACACTTACCAGAAAATCTCAGAAAATGTATTTTCTTCAAACTGGTATGCTACACTTTTTAGTATTCCCCACCTGTAAAACTGGCTGGTCTGTGCTTATTTAACAGAGATACTAGGCAATCTATCAAGTCAACTAAACAACTGTCATGGTAAAAAGAGAAAAAATAGGGGAGAGTGGGGGAGAAAACACTTTTTCTGATCATTTTCATTCTACTCCACTGTCTGTCGATATATATTAAATCACAAATCCAAAAGGAGAACCCACTGACAAGTATAGGACATGACACAGCAAGACCACTGCTGCAGAATCAGGACCTCTGTTTGTAACTTCATCGACTCCAAGTTATTTACCTTAATATAGCAATTGTATATTTGGAAGTGCATATCCAAACACAACACACACTCATCTATCCTAATTACCTGTATGCATAGCATATATTTCTCAATTAAAAAGGAACTCTTAATACAAGGTCTGTGCAGAACACAATCAAACTAACCTCTTCTGTAATCATGACAACATTAACGTCCTAGAAAGCTTCTTTAATGCTGAACACTGAGTTAAGCGAGCAGATTAAAACACAGCAGCAACAGTTGAAAGACTCATTAAAACTCAACTGCTGAAAATAGTTAGCAATGAAAGTCATTTACTGATCTATGCATCCATCCACCCACTGATACATTCTCAGAGCTTTAAACACATGCTGAAGAATATTTAGCTTTAGGTCACATCCACCAGACATACTTCTGACACTTAAAAAGGACAAAGAAAAGATGTCTTGAGCAGCACAGCATCCTGTGACATTCATACACATAACCCCTTCACAAAGTTTGGATGCTGAGTAAAATATCTAGTCACTTGAAGATCAGTATAGCTTATACTCTGAACCCCCACTTCGAACATGAGCACAGCTCTGATGTTGGTCTAGACATGACTGGGGGCTTTATATTTAGATAAAGAGCTGCCTCTATAAATAGGTGCGTTCAAGTGGGTATAAAGCTTTTACTGCAACTCATTTGGGGTGACCTGCATAATTCACTTGTACGTGGGCATCTCATACATTGCCAAAAAAATCTTTATGTTATCACACACCCGTCTGTGGCTTCTTTTGTCTGCATTTCAGCATTTGCTCAGATTTATTTCCTTTTAATTTTTGTATAGGTATTAGGCTTGTGACACAAGAGCTGTTGGACTGCGTTGCCTCAGTTACTTATGAAGAGGCTTTAAAGAAAAATCACAGAATCACAAAAAAAGGACAAAAAAAATTTTTTTTTTTTTTTTTTTTAAAAAAAGCTCCTCCTTGAAAACATCCTTCAAATGAATTAAGCTGTAACCCTCTTAAGCTATAGCATCACCTGAGTTACTGAAGCCTGATACAAATCACTCCCGAAGCCTGTGATGAGAACTTCTCAGTGTAACCGTATAGGTGTTGCTGGCTGTGATACTGATTCATGGTGTCTTAAAGCAGTCACTGGTTTAAGATCAAATTGAGTAAGGTTTAGATCTCAGGGCAATATAATTGTGTACTTCTTTRGTTCCTGCTTTTCTGGAAGAAAAAGCAGAGATATTTGTGGTGGGATTTCTCTCTTGCCTACTCTGTAAAAGGCTGAAAAAGTTTCTCACTTGAAAAGTTAGAAATAAATAAATATGGTAATGATTATGATTTAAGATACAAAAACATCAGAGATTCATTCAAYGGCTGCTAACAAATCTGCAGCTTACTGAGATGCTGGAATTAAACATCCACACTAGTATTTCACAGCTAAGCATGTTCAAAGAAGTGTCTTAGCTTATAAGCACTACAGTTACCCAGCCCTTCAAACTCAAACAATCTTGAGTTCAATAACTGGACTAAATGTTCTTTTTTTTTCTTTTTTTAAATGAGCTATATTGCAGTGAAAAATTGTTATTCCAGTATCACATTAGGACTTCTCTCATGCTTATACAATAACATTTTTTTCTTTAATAACCACAACCAACCAACCTTTAGTAAAACAGATTATCAGTAGTTGGTGTGTTTTATTTTGTTAAATTCAGAGATTTACACTATTCATACCTCTACAAGAACAAAGAGGTCGTACTAGTTCTGAATTCTGGATCAAATCCATGCTCTTCAAGTCACAGGGACATCCCAAGCTGCTATTAAAAGGTCGTGAAGGTTTGAATCTCCTTCTGACCGTGACACCTTAAGCAATATCTAAAACACAATTCTAATTTAGTTTTCTGTAGAAAATATGTACAAATTGGTGCACAAGGGAAACATGAAACTTCATGCAACATGTATTAGCAGGGCAGAATCAGGTACATGKTAAATGAACATCTCTTGAAAAGGAGTAATAGAACACTAGCCAAAGAGTCTTGACGGGTCACGTTGGAGCTCTAAAGATTAATGCAGACTTGTGAACTTCCAAMATTTGAACACTCCTCCTGTGGAATCCGGCAGTGCAGGATTTCTTTTTTCAAGTAATGCCGAAAGACTCATTATCCTATCTTGCCTGTGCCTCAAGTTGTGCAATGCACACCAACCATGGCAGGTGATGTAGCTTTACACAAAYTGGAAATTCTGATAATGACTCACCATCTAAGAAAATCAGATAGCAGTTAAAACAAAAGAATCAGGGCTAGGTGAACYCCCTTTTATAAATGCTATGAAAGCGTTTTTGGAAAAAACAAACRCGTATTTCAAGACTGTAACTATTGTTATGGCCTGTTTGTTTAATATCTACTGATAGAATACAGAAAGAAAGTTGCCGTAAGATAGAAGAGTTCTTATCTCAAGAATCCTGTAGAGAAATGAAGACAACTATACCCAGTCASCCTAAACTATAAAGTCATCATCTAATAGCTATTAGAGCATAACCACAACTCTGCCAAATTATCTCATCAGACTAGACGTTACTTGCAGTTTCACCGGTCATTGCAGAGATCTGAGCATGGCTGAGAAGTCACAATCCACGTCTCCAGTGTTACATAAAGACCCCTTCCCATGGTGTATCCAAAAGAGGCTTTTCCCAGCTTAATAAACCACTGATAAGCAGCTCCAGTGTCCTCTGAATAGGTGTATGATCAGTGTRTATCAGGCAATGTCAATGATCTGAGCATAAGGTTTATAGGCTGCATGGTTTCTTGCTAGACTGTTATTTTCTTGTTTCTTCACTTCTTAGGTTCTTTATGAGAATTCAGTCTTGAAGCTAAAGGAGGTACCTGTCCAACCTCTGTTGCTAAATTCAGTCACTGAACGATGTCAGAGAACTCCACTGAAGATGGCATAGAAACCTACAGAAACCGATACAAYTGTCAGAAGGGAAGCACAATGGATGGCAAACATACAAGCCAAACATGGCAAGAAAAGATGATTGGGGAAAAAAATAAATAAAAGGAGAAAACGTCRGTCTTCTCAGAAAACCCTTTCCTGAAATAATTAAGCATACATTTGCCAAGCAGAGACCAGAGGTTCTGGAGGGCAGGTGATGGTATCTCTAGCTGACGAGGCTACTTTTAGCAGATTGCTAACTTGGTTCCCCAGCTAGCTGTGTCAGGAGAAAGGAATCAAAGACTACATGGGCACGAGTTAAACCATCATCTGACTCAGAATTTTTATAAAGGATAAGGACCAAAGCTGGTGTGAATTAGATTCAGTTACCACTCAACTCCTGTGGTAAAAAAAGGACACGGTGACAAATTTCCTCCCAAGTTCAAGGGCAGAAGCTCCTACCTTGAAAGCGTCAATGCTGGAACTTTGCGAATCCGCTTTTCACTCCACTCTGCCAAAAATAAACACATTTTAATGAGCATGTTGAAATCGATGATGGAAAACAATTTTATTTCCACTGCAACAGGAAAGACATTCTCTTAATTCCGTATTAGCTCATGAAAGGAAACCAGTCTCATTTCTTTAGAAGGTGTCAACAGAGTGGACCAAAATAGACTTTTTCCTCCACAGATATACCTGCGGTCAGGTTGTGACAATATCAGAGCAGTACTACTCTGCATCAGCGCTGAGGAAGCTGATAATGTCTCAGGAAGAAGGGGATTGGTCCCTTTGGCTTGTTCACACTATCAAGGTTGTCACAAAAACTTGTCATCTGGAGATTATTTTCATGCTGACACTCCTGCCATCTACCTACCCACCACGACTTAAAGACTCAACGTGACATTGCTTGCTGCTTTTCGGAAATCTGATTTTTCTTCTCCCGGTGTTGTACTGAGTAGTTACTCTCACTTAGGCTTCTGTCAGCTCCCTACTTCCGCAGTAAACGCTTCTCTATCATCATCAATATCCAATGACCTTCCGGAGCTGCACCAAACACAGCTGTCCCTGTAATCCTCCTCTCTCACAAGAAATTCCGTTGTGCTTCTGCAGTGCTCYCCACACCAAGACCGCGACACTCCTGGTGCTATTTCGTGCTCTCCTCGAACCGTAAATCATCACATCAAAAACTAATCCGAGAGCACCAAAATACCAGCACCACAAACCRTGGAGTGAAATACAACCTATAGACATTGCCTGCTTTTCCTCACAGATTCCCACCCTACTATTATCCCCTTCCCTCATCATACTCCATAAATAAAGCTCGGAATAAATACATCCGTACCTGTGAGATGATGACCATATATGTAAAATGAACTGGGCTGGACAACGGTTACATGAAGCCCTAGAGCAACACTGGCCTGCACAATGAGTATGTTTTAACTCTTCTTAAAAATAAAAATTAAACAATAACGTAGCAGTAGAGTTACACATGCTTGTGATTTATACYACGGCTTTCATGTGGTACTTTTATTACACAGGATTGGTGGAGCAGGGGAGTGCAATGGAGTAATACACAGTAAAAAAGAATCAACATAACACACAGATCAATGTTATGGAAAAAAATGGTTAAAAAGGGTTAAAAATACAGTATAAAAGGCTGCTACTTTTCTGGATCTGTGGCAATTAGAAGTTTCATGAATCCTTTCCTTTCCCTACCTGGTACAGTGAAGATATCCCTACCATATCACAGTCTATTTTCAGTTGGGAGCGCAGATGGAGGTCAGACCAGGAGGGGAAAGGAAATACGTTCCCTACGAAAACTTAYTTGCTGAGTGACTTTTTCAGAGTATGTCTAGCATGACATGAAGATCTCCAACTCTACAGATCTYCCAAACCYGCCTGGATGCCGCCCTGTGCCCCGTGCTCTGGGTGTCCCTGTTGGAGCAGGGGGATTGGGCTAGATGATCCCTAGAGGTCCCTTCCAGCCTCAACCATCCTGTGATTCTGGGATGGCGACAAATGGTGCTAAGCACCATGAACAAGGGCATTTCTGAGGAGGAACTTGAAGGTGGAAAAGGTAGAAGTCTCATTCTAGGGAGCTGGAATCATCAAGCCAGACCTTGTTCAGAGAAACAAAGGAAACTTTCTACGACATAGTCTTATTGAATTAACTTTTGGTGCTAAGAACAGAAGACAATTTTGCAAGAACTCCACTTTTCTGAACACACTTTCTAGTCCTAATCATCAAACTAAGAGAGTTTGACACACTGAATTCAACTCTAATTTCAATTTTCTTGCAAAGTTGAACCTGAGTTTCTCTCAAAGTCACTTAGGTATCTCTCACCTACATCACATGATGCACAGCTTCAACCATGGCTCTTCTGAAGGTGAACCGTTTACTTATCAATAACCTACTGGGAGGTGTATTCCACTYGCCTTCTTTATCTTCTGCCAGGTTTATGCGAACAAGTCTATCCGGCCTTAACATTTGCTGGGAAATACTGCATGGAATAATTATTATTGTAAGACACCTTACATTCCCATGAATTCAGAGTTCAACTCCAAAATGCCTACAAACTAAGAGAAGATACAGGGAAAACTAGCCAGAAAAAGTGATTTGTAGGGAAAAGGCAGGTTTAATATAAAAAAGTTRCAATAGCAGGAGAAGGCAGAAAGACTAATCAGTCTACATAGGAAACTGTGTCAAGTCCTAAACAATAAGAACACAAACACAATTATGTAGAATGCTACACTCTAAAAAAAACGAAACACCTCAATTCATTAAAACAAAGCCATTGGCAAAATGAACCATAGTTCCGTAAAAAAGTTGGATACATTACTTGACCATGGCAAAAGGTATTTGCACTGAACTGCAATAAACACCATGTTACTATGCACTGGGTGGGCAAGCACAATCTTCAAGTTTGCCTTAGTTATACTTTGATCTTGGTCAAGAGAACAAGGACTGGAGGAGCTAGAACATCTTTAACTCTACAGTTCACCGTTCAGAAAAGAGGAGGAATAAAACCCAAGAACAATAACAAAATCACTAAGTCATTCTGCACTCTTGAGATCAAAAARCTCCAAATGCATTTTCTCAAAAAGGTTCCAAAACAAGTATTGAAAATTTCAGGAGACAAAACAGTTCTTGCAAATTCACTTCTACAGAAGACTTGAGCACAAATTAAGAGCAGCCTCATGTTTGCTAATACATCTGAGTGTAACGTGTTACTGAAAATGCATCTCATCAATTTTTATTCACCTTCAAAGACCTTATATTAGCAGCAAAAGGATACTTTCCAAGAGCAAGCACAATCCATGTTCCTCATAAGCTATTAATCAAGAGAAATGTAGTAGTATTTATGACTACTCTCCTAACGCTCATCCAAAACACTGGACCGACCACTAAAAATTCTCTTTTAAAATATTTTTTTCCCTGCTTGACTAGCAGATTAGATCACTAGTTTAATTTTTGAATAGTAAAGTTGATCCATCCACTCTAAAATTCAAACTGGACTGCGCTCCTCATGACTAGCTGAAGGCTACAGAAGTCTCTTGACAGAGTAACCTCAAGAACCTTGGAGACCAGAAGAAACACTCTTGGAAGCACAGAGCTGTTGATAGGAAGAATGTTTCTCCTCCCTTGACCATTCAGTGAAATGTAATCATTGCAAGAATCCACATCTGACGATATACTGAGCGGCATCGATATATCTGAACTCCCCTTCCACAAAGTTATTTTGCTTTTCAAAAAAAATCAAAAAAGTCCTGAGTTAAAAAACAACGCAGAACCTCTGAAGTTGACTGAATATCCTGAGCRTTCGTCAATGCAACACACAGCCACAAACACCTCCCCTCCTCATAAAGCTTGATGCCCTCYCGCACCAAACTGCGGATATGAAGAAATATTTTTGACTGAAAATGGGATTTTCATAGACTAGTTCACTGTATGAATCTGTRAAAGAAAAAGAAAATCCCAAGCTGTTTTAGTCTCCAGAATTCAGTTATTTACTTTGTTACTTATACATAAAGCCAGATCTGCTATAGAAAAAAAAAAAATCACTAACGACAAGAGTCACTTCTGTTACCCAAGATCTCTTTGGATTTAACAACTAACTATCTGATGTTAGGCAGCTGCTGTGCATTGCTCACTAACCACAGCAATTTCCYTCCGAACCTGTTCACCAGAACCTCTCATGGTACCTGTTGCACGGGTCTAAGCCACACTGGAGGCTGCTGGGCACTACTGGAACAGCAGGAAGAAGGTTGCTCTGCCACTGAACAAAACACCAGCAAATTAACATCAGGAAAGTCGTCCTTCCAGGAGCCCTGCGACTTACCCCCCTTTACAGGCGAGTAACTGAGAGCACGGAGTAGGAGTGAGTGACTTGCTCACAGTCACACAAACTCCATACGCCTGGTAGAAATGGAATGAGCATTTTGAGAGGCTCAGTTTGGCATTTCAGTGAACCGATATTCTGCCTCTCCAATGGGAGAAGAAACAAAACAACAGTTGATTACAATAACCCAAAAACACARACACCAAAAGAATCACTAAAAGAAACTTAACAAACATGTTTACTGTGGTGTGCATCTTCCAAAATAACAAAACTAACTAATGCTGCAATTGCTGCATGARGACACCTGTATCAAGAATATACTGGCTGCAATGATACTCTCTAGGAAAACAACCACATCAGTACTGGACTTGAAAGATGAACGATGGCTCTAGGGCCAAAGGTGTCATTCCACCAAGCTCTGCTATTTCTCAGAGATGCTCCATGCTGAAACCATTTGGCCAATGAGGTGGCCAAAGCCCAYGTAATTTATGGGAGCTGGGAGGAGGCGGCACAGCAGCGGCAGAATTTTGGAGCCAAGCATTGGAGCAGTCCTCATGCACTGATCCCCATCCACTGCCCATGTTCCATCTCACTCCTGGCCAAGCGTAGCAAGGCTCTTTTTGTTCAAAAGCAAGGGTGTTTCATGCTAAAGTGTGAACGAATGTAAGTGCTTCTGGATCCCTCCTGGTCATCCTCAGGAAAATGACAAGCACCCTCYAATGCATTCGGCAACAACTTAGACTGCTCGGATGGTCTAGAAACAGGTTGGGCCTCCATTCATTTGTATCCAAGCATATAAGGAAGACTCCAGCGGTCCGGGGTWGAAGATGAACGGCCAGGGAATGGGGACTGAACCTTAAGTGCCAAGTAAATGCCAAGAGATGACTCTTCTACAAGGGTGCCAAACTGTGCAGCTTTTCTTACCCATGTCCTGCTTCTGGAACACCCCGAGTTGAACCAAGCTTGACCAAAGATCCTGTGGAAATCGCACCAGTAAAAAGAACAGGCCTTTCAAATACAAGATTGCTTTCAAGCAAAACAAAACCAAAAGCATAGGGAAACTACTTATTCCTTCCTAATCAGCATTAACTTTTTTTTTCCTGATGAAGCATTGCAAGCTTCAATTCCAGCTCCAGAGCTGGCAGGACTGGCTTCAAAAGACACATGTCTT